ATTAAAAATAAAATATATTCTGCATATAATTTCTCATATTAAAAAAGTTTTAAAAAGAGTTATTCATTAAATTTATTTTAATTAAAAATAAAATATATTCGGTTGATGATTTTTCAAATTAAAAAAATAGAAAATAATTTAGTTATAAATTAACGATAAAATTTAACAAAATACATAATTATTTAAAATTCGTCGGTATAATGATATCACTGATAAGATTTAAGTACGATCTTTCACCTATCTTAAAAAAAAAATTAATTTTGTCCAAAAAGTTAAATTATTATTGAAAAAAAAAACTCGAGTAATATATTTATATAATTTTTTTAATATTTATTAAAATAAAATAGATGTAGAAATAGTTTATGTGCAGAAAAGATTCAATCGAGTATGAAAACAGTTTCACTTGTTACAATAGACTTTGACTTTGACCTTGACCTTCTCTCTCTTCGGTTTAAGTAATTATTAATGATTTTATAAAAGAAAAAGACAATTTTAGACCTGTTAAAAATATTATCTGTTATTTTTTAGAGCTTACGTCATAAATAATCTTTCTAGAACGAAAAATTATAACACGAATTGATTTTATTTTGGGTTCGTTTATTAGCAGTTTAATGAGACTCATAGTTTATTCAGTCAGCTATATATGATTGTTTAATTGTGTTTTAATAATATAAAAGCGGTTTATCCAGTACACTTTTATGAAGAGGATTATGCAGAAAGCCAAATTTTTTTTCTTCCAAACTTGCCCCTCACAATTAAAGAATATGTTGTTTTCGTTCATGAAAAACTTAAATCAAATAAAAACTTTTTCGATCTATACAGATAGATAGATTAATCCATACATACACGTTTGTTCATACATGATTTAATGGAAAACCAACCAAACAGCCACTTAGAAGTTAGAACTGCATATTGCTTAGGCTTTTTTGCGTGTAGGCTCAAATAGGCGTTTGAGGTTGAAAAGAAGTCTAATAAGGTTTTTCAGGCTGGACTTTTGGTCAGGTTTTCGGGCTTTAAAGTTCACCTGGATCTGAGCTTTTTAGGCGTGGGTTTTTTTAGGCCGGGCTCGTGTTAAACTTCAGATTTTGATTTTTTTGTGTATCTCTAGATTTTGTTGTGTACGAAGGAAGTTTTGTTACTCGTATCAAAATTGAAATAATTACTGTAAAAATTAAAATTGAAATAAAATTATGGTTTGTTTTGTTAAAGAAATATAAGTATGATTACTATTTATTAGTGTATATATACAACTTATTAAAACTACATGTTTAAATTCCCAAAACTAACTGTTAATCAATTGATAAACATATTCAAATACATGATAAACGTTAGATCCCTAAATTTTGGATTTCCTTTGAAAAGTTGCATTAAATTTTCATTTTTGGTTTACATAAAATTGTATAATCACTGTATTGCATGAACACACAGTCAATCAAATGTAATATATTTACGAAACAATTTGTATAATGATTAAAAAATACAATAATACATAGCAAATTTTTTATAAGGTAATTATTGATACTAAGAATGGTGATTTGTCCCGACTCGGTAGGGAACCCGACTCACCAGATCCGAACGGGGACGGGGATTTCCCGCTCAAACGGGTCCCACGGATCTCCGATAGACTCAAACCAGGGCCGGGAATCCCCGGTAGACTCAAACTAACAAATATTTTTCATGGGGTTTGATCGCGGTTTGACAGGGGTTTTGATCGGAGATGAGATGTTAATTCTCGTACTCGTCAGGGACCGAGGCCGAGACCGCGCATTACAAAAAACATGTTCCATGCCAACCCTGTTGCCATGCCTAATTAATACAACCAATAAATAATCAAGTGATGTGTGAATATAATCCTTTATATGATTTAATAACATTGTTTAATCATTTCATACACTTATAATATGTTTTAAATAAAACAAAATGTGGGAATTTTTTTAGGATATATACAATTAATTAATGAGTAAACTACAAATTTGGTCCCTATATTTGTTGAAAATAATTGCAGTTTTAATATTACAAAGTGACCTTCATGGTTTGTAAAAACATTTCGATTTGGTCTCTTTTATTAATGACTGTTAAAAATTCCGTTAAATAATGGATATTTTCGTTCTCTTTTTGTCTTTTGCGTTGTCATCATAGATTTAACGACTTCAATCTATTTTATTTTTGATTGGGTAAAACATATTTTTTTTATAAGGACTGAAAACATCTCGTATTTAACGAAAAGAACTATTTGCGATGAGTTTTTCTACCCAAATAACTCCTATGCAAATATATAGGTTAATTGAATCGGCGGCTCCGGGGATTATTTCTCGACGTTCTGTATATGAGCCTCTTCAAACAGGGCTTATTGCTATTGATTCAATGATTCCGATAGAACATGGTCAGCAAAAATTAATTATTGAGAACAGACATACTGGTAAAAAGATCGCATTCCTGCCATGGCTTATCCCATGTTTGCTTGAATCTTAAGTGGGCCCCGCATAGTGATCGGTTCCATATTTTTCCTTTTAATATAATTTTTGAAAGACTTATTATCTTATTATTTTCATATAACTTTTTTATTATTATTAATTATCAACAATTTTCTGCTAAAATGATGTCGTTCTCACCTTAATAATAACACATGCTAATAGTATCTTTCTTATTAATAAAGTAAATAAAGAACCCATACTCTTATAAAGAAGCATTATATATATGTATATATACACACATATATATATATATATATATATATATATATAGAGGTGAGTTACTGAGTTATTATGCAACCTTTTACATTTGTACAACCAATATAATTCAATATAAACCGTCCATTTAATTTGATGAATATGTGATTTCATAAAAGTTTTGATTGTACAAATGTGACGGGTTACATTTGAAACGTCATCTCTCTCTCTCTCTCTCTCTCTCTCTCTATATATATATATATATATATATATATATATATATATATATGGTTGGGTTTAAGAAAGACTGTTTTCATGAGACACGTGAAATAGTAAACAAAGGTTGAACCTTTCCAGCAAAAACATTGTGAATGTTATCTTTATAGTGTTTTGCTGTAAAGTTTCAAATATAAAAATGTATGATCCCAAATATGTATGTATATATATATCACCACACATATCAATATAATAATACCTTTGAAATTAAAATACAATATGATGATTTAAGATAAATTGATATGAATTAGTCTACAATCATTATCATAAAAACCATCATAATTATATTTAATATCTACATAAACTTCTATAATTAACACAATTATTTTATTATTATTTAATTTTTAATAAAAAACGATGGTTGACTTTTATAGCGAACAACATATGATTTAACTTTTATTAAAAAGCCGATGATTGACTTTTATAACGAACAGCTTATGATTTAACTTTTATTAAAAAGATGATGATTACATTCATGATGAAAAACATATGACATAACGTTAATTACGCATCAAACACATTTTATTGACGTAGGAATGATGTTTTTATTGTTATACCGGCATACGTTGATATGTTTTAATTTAAATAAATATTTCATAAATATATATTTTTGACCATGATGGCCATCCCCTGGCACTGTATCGAATTAAACCATATGCCCCACTAGTTGTGCACGTCCCGATCATTTCTTTTTGAGTTTCTGTCTTGCAATTGTGCTCCAAAGGCGGAGTGTTTTGTGCATAGTTGCCCCCTGATTTGTCCAGCCTACCCAGTCCCTGAAAGTCCCCCCCC